TTCTTCTTCTTCTTCTTCTTCTTCTTCTTCTTCTTCTTCTTCTTCTTCTTCTTCTTCTTCTTCTTCTTCCTCTTCCTCTTCCTCTTCTTCTCCTTCTCCTCCTTCTTCTTCTTTTCTTTCAAGATAGGGTTTCTCTGACTGTCCTGGAACTTGCTCAGTAGACCAGGCTGGCCTCGAACTCACAGAGATCCACCTGCCTCTATCTCCCAAGTGCTGAGGTTAAAGACATGTGCCACCACTGCCCGGTTAGGACTTCCTCTTACTTCTCTGGACTGAATAATTGTCCAGGAAAGCTCTGGAAGGATGTGTTGCTCACAGTAAGGACATCTCCCCAGTGGCATCCATTAAAATATTTCCATTCACTCCATGACATTTTAATTTAGACATTTCCAGAGCTTTCATGAAAGTCCTTCCATAATTTAGGCCCCCCTCCCGCTTGGAGAAGTATGACATTGGGTCAGAAAGTACAGGAGAACAGATTTTGAGTTATGATCTGGGGGAAGGGTGCATACCTCAGCAGGCTAATCCAGGCTGGCTCTTAGAACTCAATTCTGACCCATCTCAGAGGTTGGAAAGGAGACCTCCACCAGGTCCCTGACTTCAGCCCCATCTCCTATGGAGGACAGAGGGATCCAGAAGCAAAACCAAAGTTCCCAGGTCACTGGTAGGTTTTCTTATCCCTCTGTCACCACAGAACCTGGACCTCATGCCTGAGGATGGGGGTGGGGTGGGGTGTGGAAGTTCCAAGGACCTTCCCAGGCCTGTGCACCCCACTCCACCCATTCTGATCTGTAGCTGCCTATTGCCATCTCAGATCCAACTCCAGGGAGACAGCTCAAAAAAGGCCCTGGCTGAGGGTGGAGGAGAGCTAAGGGGAGGGGTTGTTTCTCCCAGCCCAGTCTGCCTCCCCCAGCTGCATGTATAAGTGATGAAGCTCCACAGGCCCAACAGGAACCAATATAATAGCGGGTGCGTAGGGTCAGCCGGAGAGGCAGATATCAGGATGCAGGAGTGACAGGCAGTGCAATTATGCCGAGCCTCCTGCAAAGGCGACTGCGAAGCCCCATCTGACCAGTAGGATCTGCAGGCTCCCTTAGGTTCCCTCTCCACAGGCCTTAACTCTTCCAGTCCCACCAGAAAAGCGGGAGAAGAAGCCAGGATAGAGAAGAAACCGGGGCTCTTGAGGAACTCATCAGGGGTTTCAGAGATTTCTGGGTCTAAGGATGGGAGGTGGGGGATGGCTTGGGAAGGCTTTCTCTTCCAAAGCACTGGATTCTGCTTTTGGAGGGGAGGCACAGGAGACAGAACCTGGGGCTTCCTGCCTATCAGGAAAGTGCTCACTCTACCACTGAACTCTATTTTTTTGTTTGTTTGTTTTTGTTTTTCGAGACAGGGTTTCTCTGTAACCGCCCTAGCTGTCCTGGAACTGTTCTCTGTAGACCAGGCTGGCCTCTAACTCCCAGATACCTGCCTGCCTCTGCCTCCTGAGTACTGGGATTAAAAATGTGTGCCACCCCCCCCCCCAGCTCACTGAGTTCTATTCCTAGTGTTATACCCCCAGCCCACTTTTTAATTTTTTATTCTAAGACAGGATCTTGTTATATTGCCCAGGCTAGCCTTGAACTCTATCTGTAGACCAGCTAGAGTTATTATTCTCCTTAG